TTCATAATCATAATAAATCATTATTCATATCATAATAAAGTTTATTCATAATAAACTTGATGCATTTCTATCTGAATCTTTATCTCAATGTAAGTAATAGTCTGCTCTCTCTTCTACAGTGTTGTGTCCTCCGCATATGTGATCATCCAATCATAACAGTTTCAGTAGATCAGTCTCTTATCATGTTCCTCAGCAGTTCAGCCATGATGGATTTTTGAATGTTTGAGCAAACACCAGGGTAAACAATAATTGTATTTTATATTGCAAGTTTGTATTGATTGTATGGTTTCAAAAGCACCAGACCATGTGTGTAGAACTTTATCAGCATTTCAGTCTGAGTGATAAACTCAATTGAAAAATGAACATGAATTTCAGAATTGTATTTGGTGTGTCCCTTTTGATTTAATGACAGCAGTCCTAACTATGTACCAGAATGTTTTGGGAACTTTCTCATCAAGTCATCGTACCATTGTTTCTGGATAATCTTAGAACATTCAAAAGTCGATAATACTAATAAAAAATAAATAAAAAAAACATTCCTTGGTTATGCAAAAGTAAAGGAAACATTCCATTTTATCATGTTGCAAAAATTATGAGAATGATACTTAATGTTCTCAACCTTCAGAAACAAAAAAAAAAAGAAGTTAGTCGAACATCCGACTGAAACATTTCAGGAAAAGAAGTTCCATGAACAATGTCTTATAATGTTTTTGTGCTAACATTTTGAGAACATTATTAATCTTGAAATGCACATTCTAATAATGTTACTGGAAGAATGTTTATTCAAAACTTTAAGAGAATTAACTTGCCAGAATTGCCCAAAGTTTTAAAATATTCCCTGTTAGCTGAGACATTTCTTGTTTTATCTTAATTTTAAAAGTTTCAAAATCCTATAAAACTTTCCAGGTTTAAATGGGAAAAAAAATTGATTTGAACTCATCAATACACTATCTTTTTTTCAATATCATTGAAATGTTCATGCTGAGTAAAACTACAGTAGATGGCAGCAGCCTTTTTGGATTACAATAAATAACAGTGTATCTCAAAGGTCAAGAGACAAGACATCCTGCTCTTGATTTCATTGAACAAGTCAAAAATTATAGGCACCATGCACATTACAGTTCATGAACTAATTACAGATTACATTACATTAGCACGAAGGCCTATTCATTTAGCAGACACTTTTGTCCACAATGAATTTGTAAGCAGTGCTAAGTGATGAATTGTAAAGGAAAAATTTAGTAAGAGCCGCAGCACCTCCTGCAGGTGAATACCAGCCAAGCACGTTTCAGACTATCTGACATCGATTTCTCGTGTCTGTCTTTCTTTTCCGGTGACTGATTATTCAGGTCTAATATCAAAATGGCGGCAGTAGCAACGACAAATCCCTCGCAGCTTTTACCTCTCGGTATGTGGGACTTTCGTTTCAATTAATTGTTTGCGTTTTTGGAATACGTTTTTAGTTGTTGTAGTAGGGAGCATAGAGCTCTATGTAAGTCGCATTCAAACCTTAATCAGTTTAATTGTGTTGGACACACGTGTACACAAACGGTTTATAGTCATAAAATCGTTGAAACATTTGATTTAATTCAAAAGAAATCGTAGGATATAAACTGGAATCAGACCCTACAGTCAGTATGGATGAATTCTGTTAAAGTGCCTGCATCACTATGTCTGTGACTGTCCGAATTCGCACCCATAGCCTCATTCACAATTTAGTTGTTTCATTCATTTACGTGCCTTTCAAGTATAATTACGCATCACAAGCACATGTATGACCAATCATGACTATAGTTTTACAAGCAGGTGAACTCTTCTAGATTCTAGATGATCGAAGACCAGTTGCTGAGCTTTGAAGTTGGAAAGGGCGTGTTGTTTTAAAATTCAATTCTGTATGAATGATTTTGCAAATTGCAGTCATTTTTACAGATGCTATTTTTGTTATTTAACAAACACACTTAGTTTTGATACCAAGTGATGATACATTTGTAACATTCATTTAAGAATTCAGATAAACTTATTTTAGTTTATTGTTTGTAATATAACGTTAATTGATTTGTTTTATTTGGGCTGTCTAGCCTATTTTATTTTTCCATCTTAAATGTATGACATGCTGAATGCCCCTTCATGGGCCCTGTCCCAGTTGGAACTCTAAAGCCCAAAGTTAGTATACTTTTTTGCACATATGCTAGAGCAAGGGTTTTCAATCCCAAATATGATCATTGTCATGCGAGGGGCCCCTATTAAAAAAAAACCCAAACATCTACATAGTTTCTTTTATAAAAAAGAACCCATTTGTACTGTAAAAGTTGATATTAATAATTTGAAAATATTGTTTTATAGTTTAATGTACATTACAAATATATTTTTCTCATGTACTGTTAGATTTATTCACTTACTTTTGTTCATATTTTAATTTAATTTGAATTTATATATTTATATGTGCTTCAGTTCAGTTGTCTTTGATTGTGTTTGTCATGACTTGTATGATGTCTTTCAGAGCTGGTGGATAAATGCATTGGCTCTCGGATTCACATCGTCATGAAGAACGATAAAGAGATTGTGGGAACTCTGCTCGGGTTTGACGACTTTGTCAGTATCCTTTAAGTGCTGAGGAAAATGCTGACACATATTTGTGATGGTTAAAAGTTTAGGATTAGATTTAACTCCATTGGTGCAAAATATAAGAACCACCGGAACTTCCTGTAAAAGGTCTGAAAGTCCGAAACATGCAGAAATGCTTTCCACACTAGAAATGAACCAAACCTTTCATCTGTTTGGTCCGGTCCGGGGTAGGTTTCACACCTATAATTTTGATTTGGACCAAACAAGGTAGGTGTGAAAGGGCCCTTATTTGTCCTGTAAATGTAAGAGACTCTTAATTCATGCCATCTTTGTTACTGTTTTAATTAGGCCTAAGTGAAATAAAAAGCCAGTTACCTCTACTGCAATTCTGCTGACATGATGTAAAGAAAGAGAAGGTTCATTGAATTCAGAGAGTGTGGCAGGAATGTACTAAAGATTCTCATTTCGTAATGTAATGCATTCTTTGTGATGTTTTTCATTTTCTTGACTCTTTGACTCTTAGACATGGTCCTTGAGGATGTGACAGAGTTGTAAGTAGATGTTCCTACCCAAAACATGGCAAATATATGCCTAATAATTTTTTTGAAATTTCTGAAAAACATCTTAGTATTGCAAAAACCATTTGTGATAAAAAAAAAGCCTTTCCAATCAATGTAAACACATGAAAAAAAGCCTTTCCAATCAATGTAAACACATGTTCATAACATTGTTCAGGTTATATTAAGTAGCCCCATGGGAACCTTATTATTATTATATTTTATTATAAGGTGAAACTATATTATATATTTATGATTCAAAAACTCACATATATTTTTGAAAATGAAGTGTACATTGTTTTCAAGGTGTAAAGAAATTATACCTCTTTTTATGTGGTCCCACATTTTTTAGAATGATGAAATCACGTATGTAATTCGATAAATGTACATTTCTGAAAACATACTTTATTTTTCATCCTGAACATTACTTGTTATTGAGCCATAACTAAAGTTGTTGTTGTTGTGTCACAGTGAAATCACTCCAGAGGGAAGAAGGATCACAAAACTGGATCAGATTCTGCTCAATGGCAATAACATCACAATGGTATGATCCTTGAGTTCTTCTTTAAATCATCATCTTTAAATATCAATCCACACTTCATGAATTGACAACATTGGCATACGGGTGATATGAGTAAATCCCTTATGCAAGTTTAATTTTTGTTTAGTTGTAGTATTTTGCTTAATTTTATATGTAACCTGAATTTATCAAACATTTAAGCCCTGAAGAACGCTGTCTCTTTAATTTTACAGATTTGTTTTTATTCCAATTGGATATGTTAGTCACTTGATAATAATACAATCTCAGCATGCAAATTGAAGATGGTCACAATGCACCAAATTTACACTGACTTTACAATTGAACTGTTAGGATTTAATTGAGCTTGGTCATTTGAGTCCTTTTGACAGTTTTGTGACTAAATTAAGAAAAGGAAAAATATCCATCCAGTTTCCATCCACCTATTTTTATTCACCCTGGATGGAAATCCCAAGATGTGCATAAATGTAAAAAAAAAAAAAAAACGTATGCACTTAATTTCCCCCTTCGTTGGGAGTTTGATTGACAGGCCATCTGACCAATCATAACGCTGAATCTGCCATTTTGTCTGAAACAAACCAGACCGGGGTTAGTTGATTAAAGAAGGTGGACTTCAACTTGAAAACTGATATACATACCTTCTGATGTTTATTTCATGCTATTCGCTTAGTCTGCGTATCATGAACGAAAAAAAAGAGCCATTTTTTTCTCCAATTGCTGCAATTTCCATTATTATTGCTGATATTTTTGCACCAATGCACTTTATTCAGAAATGTTTTATGTGATGTTCCAATTTTGCGCTTGAGTTAAATTTGCAACTTGCAAACATAGCTAATGATACGGAGTAAAACAAAACATAGTAATTAACAGAAATACTTGCCTAGATCTATAGGACCATGTATTCCATTTCATAACATTACCATAACTCAACACAATTAAAGATATGTATTAATGAACGCTAATCAACATGGCACGTCACTTTATTATATATGACAAAACCATGTGTTTCTGCTGTTTTCCAGTTGATTCCAGGAGGAGAAGGACCAGAAGTTTGAGAAACGTGTAGCACATTACAGAAAATAAATGTACAATTTATGTTCCTGTTTAATGGAAGAATTGATCACTTCTTTTTTTTTTAAAGAGGCATTTTCATTTCATGAGGAGAGTTTTTCCACATTAGTTCTTTTATTCTTTAAGTGATCCAAAATGGTTTTGTAAACATTTGTTGCTTATTACAATAAAACAAATAAAATTAACTGGACTGTATTGGAATTCATTGTATAAGAGCATTTTGTGTTGTATTCCTGACGTGTAATATGTAGATAAAGAAACTGAGGATCTTTTGTGAAATCATTGTTGGTTTTAATGGTTTTTTTTGTTGCTTTAAGAACATGTCCTATGAGTGAATTTGCTTTTAGGTTTTCTTTCTTTAATTTTGTACATGCTGAAATAGAATTCAACTACCTCTGTGATTAATTTAACAAGTTTAGTAATAAACCGATTTAAAAGATGCATCTACTGTCAAAAGTTTCATGAAACTACTGTATCTAGAATGTGAGAAATTCTTAAAACTGGTCTAGTTGTACAACTTTATGTATATGAAGGTCCCAGTAAGTATCTGTCTCAGTACATGGATGGCTTCTCTTCTCCTTTGGGGTTTGTCACTTTCTCCAGGTTCTTGCTGATGACGTCATAAAGTTCAGCCTGAGTACAAACAACAGAAATCTGAATATGCTGCCGTATGTTTCCACAATTATCGTGATTCGTTCATAAAGGCCATATATTTCACTTTTGTTTTAGCGTTTCTCATTTAGAAGCTGTTTGCTAAATAAATACATGCAAACTCACGTAGAATCCGCGTATATCGAGCACAATCACTCTGATCTCAGAATATGCGGCTTCATCCTTCTCGTGCACCAGAGAGCGATAATCCATCTATCAAAAGAACATGTCCTTTATTATTACACAAAAAGGGTATGACAGTGACTTGAAATCACTTTTATATGAGGACAATGTGTAAATCTGAGGCCTGTTCCACGAAGCCAATTTAAGTTGTTACCCAGGCAAGTTTTGGCAAAACCAAAACTGACCGATCAGTTTTGAGTAAAGTGACATGTATCCGATGCAATAAAGCCACTCTCCTTGGATCTCGTGCTCCAAATTAAAGCAGTTAACAGTGAACAAATGGTAATGACAAAATTGACAGTCTTTTACTTCTGATTATTATATTTACATTATAAATGATATATTTTTCAATATTAAACTGCATTTAAATTAATATAAATATATAAAGCATTTTTAATTGTTTAAATTGACACTTTCCTTTGAGCTCTTTGTGAACATGTATACTGTTATTTAAAGGGATAGTTAATTTTGAAATTAATTTTTGGTATGTTTTATCTTACCTCAAGGGCATCCAAGATGTAGGTGTCTTTGTTTCCACAGACAAAATATTCAATTTTTATATTTTTAGGTCAAACCGTTCTTGTCTGTCAGTCATATAATGGAGGTATATGGGGTCCACCTCAAAGAGCATGCACAGAGAAGTCCAAATTAAACATCATTTAATGACTTGTAAATGTAAGTACACATTAATGGCCTAAGACACAAAACGGTTTGTGTGCGATTTCGATATATCAACAGACAACGTTGATTTTTTTTTTCGCAACCGCGCAAGAGATCACTGCTGGCGATTTCCGGCGCTTGCGCAGACCGAAGCGCCCGTGCCTTCAGATCACTTGGACATGGCTGTGGTTGCAAGAGGTAAAAACAATATAAATACTGTTCGTTTTGTCACACAAACTGCTCGTTTCGTGTCCTAGGCCATCAGTGTGTACTTACATTTACGAGTCATTAAATCATGTTTAATTTGGACTTCTCTGTGCATGCTCTTTGAGGTGGTGACCATAGACCTGCATTATATGACTGACAGACAAGAAAAGATTAACCTAAAAATATAAAAATTTAAACTACTGTGGAAACAAAGACACCTACATCTTGGATGCACTTGAGGTAAGCTAAAACATATCAAAAATTAATTTCAAAGTGAACTATCCCTTTAAATTTCAATTATTTAAACTTGCATTGATATAGTCAGACGTTTTCTTTCAACTGCCTTCTCAAACTTTTTCGGCAGCAGCAGTATTTATTCCTGCCTTGTAAATGCATTTAAATTCTTAATATTTTTCAAAATGATCTCTTAATCTTAAACAGAGAAATTAATTTGGTTCATCTCGCAAAAAGAGTATCAAACTCACACTCTCCATGATCCATGTGGTTCGATGTTTTCAGCACATCATATGTTCAGGTGCACGCGCTCCAGAGTTAAATACAAACTCTGCATCAAACCGTGAGTTGAACGTTTATATAACCAATGTTGTAAGACCGCTGAACCTGATGTAAACCAGGAGGGCAGTGTCCGAAATCGCCCCCATACACTTAAATAGGGCACTATTTTTTTGAGGTGACAGCCATTTGTAGGTGCAAAACCACTACAAGTGCACTATCGAGTGCACACACTCCAATAATGCACCTCAATAATGAGCGTACAATGGATGAACACTTAACAGCTAGAAAACACCCATAATGCACTGTGAATTAAACTGTTATACATGCTAGTTTCCATTAAAGAGTTCAAGATAAGTCTTTTCATTACTACTGAAGCTGCCAGTTTGCTACGTTTCAAATGATTATTAAACAGTAAGCCCAAACTATAAAAGAGCAGCAGGTCTCTAAAGGGATACTTCCACTTTTTTTTGGAAATAGGCTCATTTTACCACTCCCCCAGAGTTAAACAGTTGGTTTTACCATTTTCAAATGTATTCAGCCGATTTTTTGATATTTAGTAGAATATCAGTAACCAGACAGTTTCTGGTCTCATTGACTTCCATATATTTTTTTCCTATTATGGACGTCAATGAGACCAGAAACTGTCTGGGGTTACTGATATTCTTCTAAATATCAGAAAATTGGCTGAATGGATTTGAAAACGGTAAAATTCATCTGTTTAACTCTGGGGGAGTGGTAAAATGAGCCTATTTCCAAAAAAAGTGGAGTATCCCTTTAAGCACAGTCAGTGTCCAAATTTACTCACTTGTTTTCATTCACTTCTTCAAGAGCAGATTGATGTAGGGAATAGTAAATGAGGATATAGGGGGTGATTTTGTTGCTCAGGTTGGATTCGCATGGTTTTGTCAACTCATAATCAATACATTGTAATAATTAAAATGGATTTCATTGCTGTGTACACGCCTTTTCATGTTCTTAAAAGGTGAGGAAGGGTGATGTTTAATGTCTTTACAAATACTAAAAATTTACTGAAAATACTAAAAAACCCTGAGAATTTGATATTGAAAGCCCTATTTGATAACTGTAGCTTTACAAAAAAGTTATACAATAATATTAGTTACAATAATAAGTGTATTGGATGGGTCACTCACCACATGTGTGTCTTTGGAAGCTTTGGCCACCGCATCGCCTCTCTCTGAGAAGTACCTGCAGATAAACACACTTTGATTACCAACATGACAACATGAATGAAGGAGGGCAACGTAAAACATGTAAACAATGAAATCTTGTTTCTGCCATAGAATAAAGAAAAAGAAAAAAGAAAAAGAAAGAAAATTAAAAGCTAATTGTGGACTTCTTTCTCAAGTCTCAAACTTCTGATTTTTTTTCTGGCAATTAAAAGATACATTTTCTTTTAAGTTGCAATTGCGAGAAAAAAGTAGCAATTACTTTTTTCCTTTTTTATTACATACCTGAAACAAGCTTCCATATTATGCATAATCAGTGAACTGAAATAGTTACAAATTGCACATACTTGTTAATGTTGGTCTGAAAACCCTCCACCTTGGTCTTCACAGCAGTAATTCTCTCAAGGATTTTTTCCTAAAATTTCAACCAGTCATGTTTACCATTCAGAAACAAAAAACATTATGTGCCATAGCCAACCACAGTCTATAACACTGTCTATAAACCAGCCATCTTCAGTGAAGAATTAAGGGTTAATAACCTGAATTGCAACTCCAAAATCATTTCCATCTTCAATTTTTGGAATCAGATGAGCGATCCAGCAAGAGACCTGAAAAAAAGCAAAAAGCTGCCAAACTACAGTCTTGGAAAATGCTGAAAACGTATCTACGAGTCAGTTTTGTCCACTTACAGTGATGCAGGTCTCCTTCAGAGCCATTATCTCTGGTTTTACAATATCCAGCAACTTCACAATCCGCTCATTTCCTTTGATGAAGCCACACTTGGGAGCTGACAGAAGAAAATGTAACATTACAACAATATTCCATATTTACAGTTAAGGTTTGACAAGCATAAGCACTTCCTATTTTATCTACGTTTCTTCTTACACTACCATCACTCTGGTAAACATACATATTCATCTAATCAGTGCATAACCATTTACCTTTACTTCTTCAGCAGATATTAAAAAATCCCCCAAAAGTACCCCATTTATGTCAGCATACCGCAGCACACCGAGATGTGGTGCATTGCTTTTGGTTTGGTATAGTAACACTTGTTTGATTTGTGCTGGTCAGATGAAGTACAGGACAAAATTTAGAAGATGTACAGATGAAGAAGTGAACAAAGTACAACCCCATTCCTCGAGAAGTTGGGACATTTTGTTAAATTGACTAAAATTCAAATTTGTCCATTATTAATTATATAATTGATATAATTAATATTTTAGGAATTAAGTTTCCCACTTGTAATTACGACTTTGCTAAGTCAATCATGAGCTCGGAACTAATAATTGCACTATTTTCTGCCTCACATGCCTTTCTGTAAAGTTCAGCAATGCTTATTAAACACACTTTAAAGGAGAACTCCGGTGCAAAATCAACCTTTGGTCTAATAAAACATTGGTACCTAGTCAACCGTTCTCTGAGATTTGTTTTCATGATAATCGAATGTAAAGAGCTTTATCTCTAAAAACTGTTTAGTGTATAATGCTAGTAAATGGAGGCATATAATACTGTAAGTAAAAAGAAATCGCTAGTTAATACCACTAACAAGGCTCAAAATAGCCCCACACTAACACAGTAACATAATGAGGGTCCATACATGCAAAACGAAGCATTGAGAACTTTGTAAGTGTACAGACCGTTTAATAAGAAGATACCTGTACTTTATAAAGACAGTTCACTTCATGTATACAGGTAGGAGCCATCTTTGGAAAACAGCCTCGACAAGTCGAACCACGAATGCCATTCATACAGTTCAGAAGTTTGCTGAACGGTCTGTACACTTACAATGTTCTCAATGCTTCGTTTTGCATGTAGGGACCCTCGTTATGTTACTGTGTTAGTGTGGGGCTATTTTGAGCCTTGTTAATGGTATTAACTACCGATTTCTTTTTACTTATTAAATGCCCCCATATACTAGCGTTATAAAGAGTTTTTAGAGATAAAACTCTTTACATTCGATCATCATGAAAACCAATAACAGAGAACGGTCTACTAGGTACCAATGTTTTATTAGACCAAAGGTTCATTTTGCGCCGGAGTTCTCCTTTAAACTAATTAAGATCTTCAAGAACATTTGATATTTACAGACATGTGTGTTGAAGAGATCCCGACTAACCAGTTAAATCTCACTTGTGTGTGTGCATAATTACCTTTCTTCTTTTTCTCATCATCTTCATTTTTATCTGTCTCCATCTCCTATTAAAATAAGTTAATAAATGTTAGGGTAATGGACATCTATTTCTAGAATTATTATGAATCCTGATCCTGATGCCAACCTCCTCCTCTGCAGCCGGGGGGTCAGGAATGGGAATGTCCAGGGGTGCATGGAGAGACGAGAGGTCAGTGATACTGAACTCATCTCCCTAAAGTCATAAAAGAGAAGCATTTTTCATTTCACTTGTTGCTGGAGTAAAATTTCTCAACTGGTAACCAAGGGCAGCAGAACCAAGGCAATGAGTTATTACAGACTGACACAGGAATACCTAAAGGTACAGGTCACTTTGGATAAAAGCATCTGCCAAATGAAAGGGGGAAAAGTACCTTCAGCAGGTTGTCAAGCTGTGAGATCTTCAAAGGTATGTGATTGGAGAACAGCTCTTCTGCCTAGCAACACAATGAATATTGTAAGCACAAACAGATACAGTGCTCAAATAGCCTGCATGTATTATTTCAAGTGAATTCATACCTGTTTATACAGTGACTGGCGGTAGTTTTCTATCTGGATGAAGTAACACAGATGAACAATTAAAAATTGATATATTGAGATAGTCTTTGTCCATGAAAATGATCGCGCCTTCATGGCCATGTTTACTTTCACTTTCAACATTCGTGGATGAGGAAGTGTGACTCAGGTTTTTTTTGTTTTTACATATAAACATCGCGATTTCCTATAGTGTTTTATTTTCAACAATCCTTAAACAATCAATAACGATCCTTTTAGAGCCATATACTGTCAGAGCTCAAACAGACGCAAACGCGTTTACGCGTTTACTTAGTTCGA